AACAACTGGCTGATCTCTGCTTTTCTCTTTTGTAGGTTTTCTTTCTGCTGAATTTATACAAAGAACAAGGTCAGTAAAATAAATGGCCGTGCAACAATTATAAAAAATAGTAACTATCAGATACCATTTCACATAGATGCATTTATCACACACTAAATGTTTCAAAATTTGTATCCAATGCTTCAAGGCTAATCATATACCTTTCCATAATAATAACCAGTAGAAAACTAGTTGCTTTCAACTAACTACCTCATTCAGCAAAACTTATCATGTGCCTAATTAACAAGGGAAAACCCATTAATTCATTAAGATACAAATATAGCAAATAACCACAAATTATCATGCTCGCTTAAACTACCAAACTTATATACCATGTGAAAAAACCATCAAATGAATAACTTCAGCAGAGGCTCCATTTTCTTTCTTTTACCAAATATATTTGCCTACAAAAAACCTTTCGATCACTAAATTATTTATATAACTTCAATTAAGATGATAAAAGAGAGCAATTTAGTCTAAAATGAATTTATATACAGTAAAAATCAAGCATGTCTTTTCTATCCGTTTATTTATACTTTAAAGATGAGTTCTTTAACACCAAAATACTTGGCAATAATCTTAAAATTTTCTATTGTTCATTTATCTTAAAACAATTTTTCTCCTAAATATTGTCAATAGATGATGTCATCCCTCCACCTCAACCGATTGAAACAAAAAAAAAATCACACCTAAAAATTATATATCCTTTTCTTAAGATTAAAAAAGGCTTTTTTTAAAATTTAAAAAAAATTAAATAAAAGAGAAAGGAAAGAGAAGATTACCATAATGAGTACCTGTTCTTCCACTCATAGAGTTATCAACTCTTGATCTTGAAGACATGCAACTTCCCATAAACCGTAATTTAACCCAACATCCTGTTTCTTCTTCTCCTCCATCTTTCTTCTTCCTTGATGATTTTTTCTCAACTTTTTCAGCCTGATGAGCAAAACCCATGTTTCTAAGACTGACCTTAAACCCTCAAAATTCCTCAAAAAATGAACTTTCTTTTTTCCCAACAAACATCAAAACTCTTATTCATAAAACAGAAAAAACCCATTTTAAAACACTTAAAAAAAGTGATTTAAAGCAATCAAACTCATCAAAAATGATTTTTTGCTGATAATCACTAAGACCCAGTTTATGACATTTAGTCAAAAGAGGGTTTTTGAGAATAGAAAGACAAAGTAGGGGCTGATTGGGAAAGAGGGAAAGTGTTCAACAAAGGACAGGTTGGGCAGTTTGAAACAGAGAAAAAGGCACCTTGGGCAGGAGAGAAAACAATAGAAGTGTAAAAAATTTCATTTCTGTGCTGTTAACTAACAACAGCAACCTTAGCATATTTCAAACCAAATAAAAGAAAAATTAATCGTATATTAGAAAAAAGATCATGGAAGTTGATATACTTAAAGATTTTGCTTTGTTTAATATTTTTTCTAGGTTGGGTTAGGATTTATCTTACAACTTGAAAGATTAGGATACATGAAGTTCTATTGAGACCGTGGCAACTGAGCATGTGGTTGGGTTGGAATATCCTTGCCTAAAAGCATGTTTACTAACTGACAAAGACAACTATCGCTTTCTTTGGTGCGTTTGCTGCCAAACTAACAGTGCTTGAATTTTTCCATCACCACACGCTAGTTAGTGGAAATACAATTCACAACTTAAAGTGGACACCCTTTTTATCTTCGGGAGCTTATAAATGTGCCATTATTTTTTTTAATACTTTATTTTTAAAAAAATTTTTAATTATTATTTTCATAAATTTTTGAATGCCAATAAATTTTATAACTTTTTAAAAATTTATTTTTTAAAAAAATAAAATTTTTTGATAAAAATTACAAAAAAATTGTATTATAGATTTTTAGCAATTGATGCAATGAAAAAATATTATTAAAAAATCCTAAAATTTAAAATTATTCAAAAAAGATTGATTTTATTATTTTGATCTTAAAAAAAATAAAATTTTATGAAACTTTAATTAAATATTTCATCATTTGATGTTATGAAAAATTATGAATGAACTATTAAATTTGATTAATATATGAGAATTGAAACTCTTTAAAATTATATAAATAATATTACTATATACTATATAATTTTGTCAAAATTTAATATATTAACTAAAGAATTTCATTGTAATAAATAAATGAAGAGATTTTTTCAAAAAACTTAATTTAATTAGAATTATTATAAAATTTTAATAATTGATAACAAAAAAATTTATTAAAAAAGAAATGATGAATTTTAAATCTATAAAAAAAAATTACATTTACTAAAAATCTTATAAGATTTTACTTTTTCTTTATGGTCAAAATAATAAAATTAACTTTCCTTTTATTAATTTTAAAATTTATAATCTTTTTAATAATAACTTTTTTAATTACTCCAATTAATAAAAATTTTTAATAAAAATATATTTTTTGTAATTTTTTTAAAAATTTCTTACTTTTCGAAAATAAAATTTTGAAAAATTATATAATTTTGTGAAAATTTATTTTCGGTGAGTTGTATATCTTTTTAAAAATTTATTTTTAAAAAATTATATAATTTATCGGATATGAATATTCAAAAACTTATAAAAATAATAATTAAGTAATTTCTCTTATATTTTTAAAAACAAATAAAGGTGTAAAGTGTAAAACCAGATATACATTTAGAAGCACCCTTTATCTTCTCCATATTTTTGCTTTACTGCATATTTTTTCAATATACTAAATCTTGTAGTAATTTTGTTTCAGACTTCCAGTGAACTCTATTATCATCAAACTAATGATGTATAGGCTTCATAAATTTGTTATTATTCATCCTCTAAATTCCTCTAGAAACAATCGACGGTGAATTTTAAATTTTGTTTGAACATAAGCATGTAATCAAATGATTTGGCCGAAGGCAATTGGAAGGGGTTTTGTTGTTGTTCGAAGGTTCAAGAGAGAGAGAGAGAGAAAAAAAGCAAATTGAAAAGAAAATTAAGGAGAAAAAATAATAACAAAAAAAGAAAAGAAGCCACGTCATAACTCTGTTGCATTTTGGATTAAAACTTTTTTATTAGGAATTTTAAATTTTAGTCATATATCTTGTAATATTTGATAATTTGTGGTATGTTATTTCAATATATCGTTACAAATTGATACTTAGGTTATAAAAAAAATTGACTCGAATTAAATTAATTAAATTAAAAAAAATACAAACTTAGTAAAATGAGCAATAGTGTATTTTATCCAAAAATAATTTGTTCTATGATTCGTATATTTGCTTTTTAAAAGTATTTTTCGTAAGAATATAAATAAATAAAATTTTTGATAAATCATTTACGAATAAGTTTGAATTTTGTTAATTTATTTTTATTTATTAAATTTAATAAATAATTTTAAATAATAATTTTATGTTTATTTATTAAACAAATTAAATATAAACATAATCTATTGGTTATGTTCATAAATAAACTTACTTAATAATTGTTTAAAACTCATTTGTTTATAAAAATGGTTCATATTCGTTTATTGTTCGTATAATAATAACAAGATTATATGCTTATTTTTTACTCTAATACTGTATCATAATCCTATGACATATTTGGTTATGATTTATTTATCATTTATAAATATATTTATTTATTATTTATGAATATATTTATTTACATATATTCATTATTTTCGTTTAATATTAACGAGTGCATTCTTTTAACTTAAACGAGTACAACACAAATAAAATTTAAACAATTTATTATTTAAACAAAATGAATTCAAACGTAAGGAATAATTGTTTTTAACAAAGGCAAATCAATCCAAACAATCTTAAAAATAAATAAATAAATTACAAATATATATTTATGGATTTGTATTCAATTCACTTATACCTGGATTCCATTAACATGATTACATCTAAGAAATTTCTGCCACTTGCTACTATTTTTGGACCAGTTAATTTGATTTGGCACCACTAACAGAAAAAAGGAGGCCTACAAACTTAATCCATGCCATGAGTTATGCAAAATCTTGAATTATTTTTTAATGGGTTAATTATATTTTTTGTAACTTTGAAAAAAACAATACAAATTGGTGCTTAAAAAATAAAAAGTACACTTTGCACTGTAAATTTTTAAATAATATATTATTTTAATCAAAATTGTAATATTATTAACTTAATTTATTTATATAGTATCTAATCAATATAATTTTATTATATGCATTTTATTTATTAAATAAAAATATTAAATATTTTACAAAAATTTTTATATGAATGCCACGTAATAAAAAATAATTAATCAATTAAATAATTTTTAACTTGATTATATTTATCAAATATCATAAATATAAATATATATGATTACGGTAACTAAAATTTGAATTAATATGATATAAATTTTAAAATTTAAGATATAAATTATATATTATTTGAAAACTCAATTATAAATTGTGTATTTTGTCAAAGTTCAATTAAAAAGTGTAATTAATTTTTTTTATCACTCAATAGATTGAATGATTAGAACTATTTTTCAAACCCCACCTGGCCCTATAACCTTCAGCCAAAATAGTGAAAAACCCAATAATCGAATAGAGCTCCATTATTTCTTTGTCTCACTGTGATTGAAATCTCAATTGTGAAAGTAACTTAAAATCAAAAGCCTAAATGTTGACAACCTAGCAGAAAAAAATTTTGTAAACTTAAATTGTATAATCAATTATCAAAAAAACTCCATGACAGAAACTGAGAACATAAGGCAATAACTAAGATACCATTCTAAGGCAGGACTCAAAAAAAGTATAAGTACAACATAGATCATTCGCTCTGCTATCTTCGCCATCTTCCTGTACGCTCAACCCAAGATCAGTTTCATGGTCTAAAAAAAATCATAAATCACACATTAGTTGTGTATTAAAATTGATCTTGAAATATAAATATTCATATCGCTTTTAATTTGTAATATGTTTTTTGTAAGACAAAAATATGCGATCCAATGAGTTGGAGCAAATAATTCCTCATAAATTAGTGTGGACATAACAATCAGCATGCAATTATTCCAATGGAACAGAAGGCACATCATCCTCATCATACACGGCTACCATTTCAGATGGCTGGTAATCTCTGTTGCCGTACAGTGATAAGTTGAACCTTAATTCAGGGTTCTCCTCCAGATCTCTCAAGAACTCTTCAGACCCTGATTCCATCTTCTCATAATGAGCTCTACCTTTATATTCATCAAGTTCCATATCAAGTGACTTAAGCTTCCATGAACGAGTCTTCCCACGCTTCTTCTGGCATTTCTCTTCATAGCTCTTCTTTATCAAAATTGCCCCATGAATAACGAGTCCTCCATACTTGTCTAGTTCAATATCATTACTGTCGGCCCCATAAAGGTCATATCCAAGAGCTCGATCTCCAGGCTTTAAAATATGGCCTTGATGTGTTCTGGTGTAAAACAACTTTCCATAATCAGTTATATAAGCCACCTCAACATCTGTCAAAACACATGTGGAGCACCCAACAATAAATTCAGGAGAAACAATTTCAACATTAAAGCCATCATATTCTACCAGCTGCCTGCTACCAAGTAGAGATTTAAAGGAATGCTTCCAATACTGGTCCGTGTCCAAGAAACACTGCCTCAGAGTATATGGATCCAGCAATGTAATGTTGTTGGTCACTTTTGTAAAGATCATAACTGGACCAAAATTCCCCAAACTAGCGGCAACTCTTAGAGGCAAACAAATCAAATCTTCACGGCAAATGGGGAATATTTCAACTGAGAATGTGTACTATTTCAATTGTAGCTATTTTTCTTAGGATCATGAGAAACAAGCTGTTTGTCATGTCTACTCTTTACCCAAAAATTCCACAAAATTCACAGCATGACTCCTGTTAGCAAAGAAAAATTCAATACCCTGATCCATCTGCTTGATTTTAATGGCATGGACAGCAACATCATGAATCGGGATGACCTACTCCAGATAAAAGAAACCTAACCTGTGTGAAACACGCTACCTGAGCTGCACAGAGGCCACCCACTGCTCAGGCGTACAAGATTCACACGTGATCTTGCTGAACATACTCAGCAACATAAGATTGCTCCGGAATCGCTCCATTAAATATCTCTTTCTGAACTTTCATCTTGACCTTGATTCTCTTAGAATGAGGTTCAGTCAAAATAAATTTAGCATTTACTAGCCTAAATTTGTTCAAATCATTCTGCTGTCGTTTCACACAACCTCAAGAGCTCCTTTGATTACAAGGGAGCTCTCTTCCAAGTTCTATGGGGCTGCAAGTAGCTATCAAATTTTTTTTGGAAAAATAATTGCCCAAAGGCCCAAATCTTCTTAGACTCACACATATTTGTCTCTAAGCCAAAAGCCCATGTGTTTGCTAATAGGAATTGAATTATGGAATTTTTTTTCATTTTTACATATTCTTTTAATACAAGGAAAAATAAACAAATAAAAACTTATGAATTACTATAAAAAATATCAAATCAAAGAGTTAAAAATTTTCATCTTGTTGTAAACGAGATACATTTGGATAAACTCTTCCATTTCTTCTTCATAACCCTTCTTTCTTACATGGATAACAATTGTTCATAATTTTAATTCTGCTAATATTCATAAAAAAAAAAAAAAACTTTACTTCATCATATGTTCAATTCTTAAAATATAAGTATAATATTAAATATTTTATTATAATTCAAAATCATTCGTAATATTTAAAAAGAAATTACCACTTCTCTCTCTCTCTCTCTCTCTCTCTATATATATATATATATATATATATATATATATATATATATATAATGCTTAACCAAAAGTTTCAAAGCGAAAGTAAAATCTTATCACTCAATTTAATTATCAAGATTGCTCCAAAGCCAAGAAGCATGAAATTTGATACTAATGAATAATAACAGTTGCTTCACATGAAACAACTTTTTAAAGTACAAACCAAATTACAACAGGTCCCCAAGGCATTGACTGAAACTAATCATAGGCATTAGACTTGTTAATTGTAGCTCTATTAACGTTACAGGTTAGCAAGAAATACAGACAAATAAATAACAATAATGATCAAGATGCTTCAAGTTTCAAGCCATTTCGAGGTTTCCATAATCAGATACTAGATTTTAACCCATGCTATGCTGCGAGAGTTGTTTAAAAAAAGTACGAAAAAAAATTTATTATGAATGTAATATATTAAAGTAAGTGAATATAATAAAAAATAATTTAGTGATTCATTATACAATCACAATCTATCGTTAATTCATAGATTTACACATTTAATTCTAAATGCGTAAAAAGTAAATGTCATCACAATCTAAGGGGAAAAAGCTTCATAAAAATATCAGTTAATGAAAAGAATTTCGTATTAAAAGTCTGACACCAAGAATTTCATTACTGGTTTTGATTTGAGAACTCTCAATCTTATATCAGAATGTAATGTGGCGCAACCAAGTCCACAAAAAAAAAAATAAAATAGAGAGGATAAATAGAAACCAAATTCAATAAAAAACAGGAAGAATAGAAAAGCGAAGATCAAACCTGCAAATAGAAGCCAAAAACCCAAAATATATGCCCACCTGAAAAAAAAATGAAATAATTGAGAAAGATTTAGACTATCAATTACCCAAAGCTGCAAAAAGAAAATGAACCCGTCTTATCTATATCAGAAACCACATTCTAGTCATAAACTTCTAAAAACACAATTAAGAAACAAGAGCAAAAGTAGGCCAAATTAGTTATCAATCTGATGGCCTAATAATATCTAATAACACTATCTGGCATTAGACATATTGTGCGTTTCCTTTTAATGACAATGAAGTCATGTAAGGAAAGATAACCACCACTCTTAGATAGTTGATATACAAAAATAAAGTCAAGAAAAGGAAAATCCTTTTAAAATACAATTTTTTCTTTTTGCATCAAACATATCCCAAGGTTTAACACTTTTGACATTGAAATTAACTCGAAAGCATCATAGTTGTTGATTGTTCTTCTCTCTTTCGCGTCACATGGTGCCCCTATTACAAAAACAACAATGAAAGCTTAGTAAGAAAAAAAAGTTAAGAAGCACCTTAATATAACAGCACTCATCCGGTATACAGATGCAATTGTTCTATAAATTTGGAAAAGACCTCATTCACCTATTGCAAAATCCTTAAAAACAGCATGTACATTATCTAAGTATGTATCATTTTTCTCCTCAAACACAGAAGGTTGTAAACTTTTTTAAACCACTCTTCTTGCAAAATTTTAAGAATGGCAATGCACTGTAACAAAGAAAAAGATATGTACACATTAATATTGTGCAAGTTAATAAATTGTGAAGGCAAACAATTTCGTAACATTAGAGGCCAATATAAATATCCATGGCTAGATGTGTGCAAGCCCAACTTGCTACTCAAAGATTAAATAAAGGAACAGTTATGCATAGTTGCTTCAACCATCAAGAATCAAGATGCTGCAATAGTCTAAATACCTTACATCAATCAAGGATCAAGATGCTGCAATACCTCTAATATCTCTAACTCAAGAATCCGCTGTTTATGTGAGGTTCCATTGAATCTAAATGCCTATCACATATGAACCCATTTCCTGAAGCCACTGTGATGACTGACAAGATACCACACGGCAGCATATTAACCAAAACTAAGACATAAACTTCATCATTTCCTGAATTTTAATATTCCTTAAATCAAATGTGGATAGAAGATAAAATATGTCCATATTGCTATATTTTTCAAATAAGAGATTGACATTTGTTTTGGAGCAAATGCCCATGTATATTCAACACAAAATTATCAACTATAATTTGTAAGAATCGCTCATAAATATTGAGCAATAGCATTAATAAGAAGTAAAATCTCCTCCATCTGTCATTTAAAATCCAAACATATTCAACCAAAACAGTCATAACGCAAAAGAATTGATTAATCTCGATAATCATATGGAAATCCTTGAACCATCCAAAACTTACATTAAAAGATCACCAGAGGGGAGCTTCTGGAAGACGTTTTATCCCTCTTTCTTAAAAAAAAAAACCCAACCAACAGAGATTGGGGCAAAAAAGAGAGAAGAGGAGAGCATTAAAATTTTAACCTCTACAGGTAGCATGAAGGAGATGCTATAAGTTGATCCAGTTGTCGCTACCCCTCTTCTCTTTCTCTTTCTCCTTCCCTTTTCTCTCTTTCAATTTTCAGGGTATGAAGCTTCTGGACCCACAAACTTCTCAATTCAACGGTTTTGCCTCTACTATTTTTCTCTTTAAAAATCATGAAGCTTCTGTTTGTCTTTTATGCCTTTAATCAATTATCTTTAAAACATCTAAAAGTGTAAAAGACGTTTTTATTCTTAGTTTTTAAGTTAATAAAAAAATGACAAACGGCACCAAATTAGATACTTTGATGAACAGTTAATGAACAGTAAAAATTAAAAAATTACTTCCTATTATACTTATGGATTTGTTGGTAGTAATGCTTCAAATTTGGGATTCATGAAATTTAGGAATTATTTCGGGTTAATTTGTTTTACCTCAGCGGAGGAATTTGGACAATTTTTTGGGTTTTTTTTGTTAATTGAGAATTGGTATTAAAAAATTGAAAAAGAATGAAAAATGCATCGGAGGAAATAAAAATTAAAAATTAAAAATAATTAAATTTTTAGATCTAATATACAATTATTACGTTTGAATTAGTGAAGGAACTTCACCGTAATATTTTTTTTTTTTCTAACGAAGAATTAGGGAAGCTTTGGGTTTTTTTTTTTTTTTTTGGTTAAAGATGTGTGAATTTTAATTTAAAAAGAATTTTTTTATAATTTTTTATGATTATATTAATAATCACGTGATATTTTATTAACAAATATGGTATTTTAATTATTAACGTGTAATTCACGTACCGACTCAAATTGAATAATTAATCTGCAGTTAACTTTTTATTTAAATTGAATCAATTTGACGACAAATAAAAGAATAAGGGTTGGCCCCGATAAAAGACGATGGATAAAAATGATATTTTTTCATGGTTAAGGACCTGTATAACTAGTATAACTAGAACTTAAGATACAAATTAGAATTATTCAAAATTATTTAAAATGAAATTAATTTAATTTTAAAATTTAATAATTTTGATCAAAACTAATTCAAACTTAATTATCAAAACTGGAATAATTTCAATATTAAACCCCAAAAAATCCAATTTGGCATGACCTATTCAATCCGCGCAATTGCCACTTTCACAATTGATACTCAACCAATGATATCGAAATCCATTTTTCACTAACGCCAAGCATAAATTTTCGTTCGAAATTCGCCACCATACACTTTCCATGAATTTGACATAACTTGGGTATCATTATCATTAACTTTTCATGATTTTATTCTATTGGTTACTCCAACTTCCATGAAAGTTCTGGCCAAACCATAAAAAGTAAAAACGGAAATAAGTTCCAAGAAACTTCCAGGTAAAAAGATACATATTAAATTCTTTTTCAAGGTAAGTGGAAAATTTATTGCAGGATCTTTTCCTTGGTGATCTTCCAAATATCTTCTTTGCGGTTTCTTTGTAGTTTCATTTCATCGTGAGTATATATTTCTGTTTCTCTCAACTCAAATACTCAACACAATCTCCCTGTTTTAGTAATTTATTTTCACCACAATCTCCAAATTCATTATCATTTCCATTCAAAAAAATGGTGCCAACCAATGATCAAAACCAAACCACAATTGCTCCTCAAACCAATACTGAAGTCTCCATATTTCTTCCAACCATAGCTTACTTGTACCTCACATTCAACAGCATCTCCACAATCTACCAGGCCTGCTCCCATGGTGACTTTTCCATGGCAGCTTTCATAGTTTTTGTGTACTTCGGTTATTTCTTTCTCATGTTTTGCATAATAAAATTCCAAGCCTTACCTCCCCAGGAAAACTCACTAAGGAAAGATTTCCTGAAATCTGTCATTTGGATTTTAACTAATGTCATCTTATTTGGCTTTGCTTATCAATTCTCCACCTTTATTCACCCTGTTGCAGCCATTTTTGTCTTTGCCATTGCAATTTTTGCCAGTTCTTTCCTCTTCTTCTTATATTTTGTCCATGATGATCATCACCTCCAGCAACAAAAACAAACTCCTAGCTCTTGCTACAGACTTAGAATCAAGATACTTCGAAGTTCTTCATCAAATAGTGAAGTGATCAGTGGCAGTAAAATTAAGCAAGTTGTGCCAGGTCCAGAAAATGTCTAATTCCTGGAAAATCTCTAAGAGTTCAGAGTTTCTGAATAAAGGAAACAAATATAGAATACAATTTGGGTACCACTTGAGTTACATCCCCTTGTAATGAAGAGATATCTAAGTTTTTAAGTTGGTAATGACTTGAATATTTGATTTATTCTATTCATAGTTTGTTCCTGGTTATCAATCTCATTCAACTTAAAAGTTTTAAGTTGACAAAAATTCCCATCTATCAATTTAATGGAAAATTTATACTATGAAATTTATCTTAACACGGTATAGTATTTTGCAAAAAGTAATTATACTTCTCAAACACCTGTAAATT